TATATTTGCTCAGATATTTTGCTTCGCAGATGTCACCTCACGTCTGCCCCCCACACAACACGTGACATTCCTGTTTATCTGATTTAATTAGTCCATTCCTTCAAGTTGGCAACCACCTCTGCCAAATCGTGCATCCAGAGTGAGGTCTCCAGTAACTTTAATGTTTAGCCAAAGCTAAAATTATCATCAAACCCAGATAGGCAAGGGGATTGAAAAAAAAGAGCATTTAATTTAATCCTCAAGTGATGGTGTTTAGAAATCCTGCAGCAAAGCTCAGTCATGAGTTAGACAGGCAATTAGAGTGATCAGGTTGGTGTCACACTCTCAACCTCTCCAATCGATGGGATGAGCACATACGCACACCCTTACACCCAATGTGTGTGAATGGGTAACTCAATTAGCCTGTGAGTAGAGCCAATGGCAAGTCAGACGCTGTCAAGGCAGCAAGGCGAAGTATATAAAAGTAGCTGTTTGGTTTGGCGCCCCACACAACATCCTGTAGTAGTGACAATTGAATCATCCCATCACATTTCCACCATGAGTTACATGAAGGCCAAAGTGAATCAATCGGATATGAAGGAGTCCATGCAACAGGAGGTAGTGGATACCTGTGCGCAGATTATGTGTACTCCTGAGATCACCCCGGTCCAAGTGGCCACGGAGGTGCGGAAGTACTTCGATGAACACCACGGACCCTCATGGACCTGTATTGTTGGCCGAGATTTTAGTAGGTAGGTCTACTTAAAATGACGCCTCTTTCATCCTCTCTTCATTTCTCTCCGGGTTAGTCGGTGGTGTTTCTTATTTCCTCCTCCTTCTCCTCCCCCTCCTCTCTCCCTTCTTTCTTTCTTTCTTTCTTTCTTCTTGCATTTCAGTTCGTTCGCGTATGAGAAGAAAAAGCACATCTCGTTGGATATTGGCGGACAGCAGATCCTCCTCTTTAAAAGTGCGTAGATCACCTCGGAGTTTGTATATAAAATATTGCCTCTTGAATAAATACGAACGACTTTTACTGGGTTGTTTTGACGGTAGGAAAGGGTAGGAATCTAATTAGACCTTTTTGATGGGCAAACTAACGTCATCGACAATTCCCTTACTGCCCTCTAGTGCCTTAGCTAATATAGTCCAGACGGTTGACACAGCCTTAAAGGCCAGATCCTAGTTTAAAAAAGAATAATATTTGGAAGAGTTTCGTAGAAAGTGATTAAAATGCTTGGTGAGTGGTTTTAAGAGGAAAGAGATGGTATTGGCCCTTGCATCACCTCCCTAACCTTTCCCTAACCTCCGCCACCAACACCACTGTTAGCATCGGTCGAAAAGGCTTGTCGAAGACGACCTTAAATGCCATCAACGGTTTACCTGGGTCCCATATTTTGGTAAAATCACCCTAAGGGAGAAAAAGAAGGATTAAAGTACTTTGGTTATTATTGCATGACAGAGTTGACAAATTTGACGCCTGGTAAAAGGCTGCTGATTGCAAGTGACTGGTGCCTACACACGTTTGTAATGCCACAGTACAGTACTGGGGGAGTAATTTAGGCCGATTTAGGCAACTGTTAGATTGTAAGTGTTGACCTTCATAATTAATTTACCACGACCACACCTCATTACCATGGCGACTGTCGCCTGACGAAGGAAGATGAAAAGCGGTGCTGCTTACTGAATACACAACTAAATTTGACAGGGTACACAACTGCAATCAAAGATTAATCGCTTTTTGATAAATGGGCTCATCCTGCCTGTCGTAGGCGAAATTGAACCCCCAAAAGCGGCTTATCTTCAACGCTGTGCCTGCATGACCCAAGCCACGGCTCATTCATCTGATTAATCAACAATTTCGCATTTTGTGATCAGCTCATAGCAGGATACTGATAGTAAGGCCATTTGGCGTCTGCTCGCAGGAAAAAATGCTGCATCTGTGGAGGGAAAAAAATCTTGTGAATTGTGCGAAGATACACAAAGTGAATGCTATCCGGTCTGGCGTTTCATGAAACGGAAATTGTCAATTGAAATTGTGCCACGCTTGGAGGAGGTCAAATTTCCCTTACCCACAGTAAAGCCGTGACTTGGACAACCAATACTTCGCTTTCCCAGAGGTTAAGTAAAACCGAAGTTAAAGGCCGAGCGAGACGTAATTAGGAAAGATGACCTCAATACATTGGCTATGCGTAAAAGCAAGTATTATAGCCAATGGGTGGAGCAGGTAAGAGTTAAGTTTCAGCCTCTAAAGCTGCTCACAACCAAGGCAAAACTTGGGATTTGATGCATTCAGACGTATTACTAAATGTCTTTCCACCTACAAAGAAATTTTAATGGTTGCCGCCCTAGCCTCATAGGTGGCCTTTAGGACGGCGAACAGGCTGTGAGGGACATAAGGAAACGCCGGGAACTAACTTCGTTAGGAAGAAAGGGGGTATTTTGGGGTGCAGTATTTTGTTTAAGTGAACAGTCGACTGCACCGGCTATCCTGTGTCCAGGGTTTGTATTGCCCATCCGAGCAGAATGGCCTTATGTCCCACCACCATCCTGTAGGTAAGTAATAAATCATCAGTCCTGCTAGTCTGGCTTATCATAACATCAGGAACGACCAGGTTGCTCCTAGGCTTTTTAAATATCAAACTTTGGAATGCTGCATAAGTGAAGAGATTAACTCAATCGAATTTTCGCTTGCCAAGCACTTGCTAAACTACGTCCATGTTGCTTTGCGAAGAGTTAGGTGATACATCAACAAATGTATGTAAATTGAACCTCAGCATATTCCATCATAGGTCATCGCTCGCACGAGTTATTTTACCAAACTTTACTTATCAGAGCAAAAGGTGTAAGTTTATACCATCGTTTATATTTATAAAACGTCTGATTCGCAGCCTAAATTCATCGTCTTTTATAAAAGTGAGGCGGAACAAAGCAAAATTCAATGTTGTATGAGTTGTTTTAAACAATCAAGCGAGGAGTCCCTTTTGTTTATAAGGTCTGTTTGAAGAGCTGTGCGGAGGCGTTATTTGCTTCTCTAATTTAATGATAGAAGTTATCGAGTAAAATTAAAAGGATTGCATTTAGCACATAACTGTAATCGCAGAGGACTTTCCGAAGGATGGCAATGCTTTAACTAGTAATAGTAAAATTACAATGATATTGTAGAATCCTCATAATTTTCTTGGTTTTATTTTAAATGAGTACAGATTAGGCCAAACACTTTTCAATTTGTGCTGAATTTAGGTTTGCCTCGGCGTTCGCCCTATTGGTTTTAAAATGTGGAGTAAATTGCGTTTATATTATAACCAAATACAAACTGACCCTAAAAATTTTGACTTCAAAGTAAGGTGGTCTCTGTTGAAATATCTTTGAAATCCAACTCATGTAAATATATATAGTAAGTAAGCTCTGGGAAGATGATGATGTGCACTTATTTATCCTAAAGCAAACCTCTTCAAATTCCTCCTGTAAGTGAAAGCTGATTGGGTTTATATTAAGAGAACGAATTTATTAGCTACCCCAAAGCGAGCAACTTGACTGTGTTGCCTGCATTCCTCTTACGCCATCTTTCTTCCGCTTTCGGTGGGATGTTGTGGTCATTCAAAGTCAAGAATAAGAACAATAACCCCCACTCGTGTTGCTGTGGGGCCTCGTGGTTTTCTGTCAGGTGGGTGCAGTGATGATGAATATGCCTCTCATACCTTTGCATTGTATCGCGTCAGTGGCTCTTAGTGGGCGATTACATCTCAAGATTTACTGTGCATATGGCTTCTGAGATTAAAGCGATCTGACCTACGGCAGCACTCTTTTTCTACACGCGTCATTTCTCCCTTCGTATTTGTCAGCAAGTCAATCAGCAACCAATCAACGTGTCTCCATATTTGGGACTGAAGAAGGCATTGGTGAGACCTCTGGCTCCTTTTTAAGCCTTTACTACTGCACGTCTTAGTAACCACACTAAAACATTCCTAAATGGGATTTTGGATATGTAAATCCTCTAAAAGGATTATTCTCGCAGAAAGGTTGTGTCTTCATATGGCCACCATTCCCTTCAAAATGCCTCTACCATAGGTTACTCGCGGGCATGACTGACATATTGTCACCAAGTTACTGACAATAGCGCCATAACCTGTCTTCGCCTATCGAAGAGGTTCCACTGGACGGTTGAAGACCTTTACGACCTCCACAACAAAATTCTAGCTACTCTAACCAGCACTGACATCACTCCTGCGGAAAAAAAAACAAAATTTCGCTCCATTTACGGGCAAACACTCTCCTAGAAATTAATTCTGTTAAGCTCTCTTTCTAACACCTAGTCGACATTTTTATGTGCCTTTCCAGAAAAAAATTCCTTATCCGAATTCTCTATTAACTTTGGGATGCGTTGGTGACTTTTTTGGAGGGACCAAACGCGCCCGGTTTTTACAAGACTCCGCTGGGATAAAGACAAGGCGTTGACGTCACCCTCCTCTAGCCTTAATAGTCCCGCACAAAAACGGTGGACTTTAAAACAATCTACAAAATGGATTTCATTGTTTCTGTGCAAAAAAGCCAGCAAACAAATTATTGTCACGCGCCACGGAAGAGGAGGAATGTTTTGCCTTTCATTTGGAAGGAGATGAGGTGCTTCTTCTCATACGCAAATGACCTGCAAAGAACAACCAAATGGAAGTGAAAGCAAAGAAAAGGTGTTTCATTTTATTTGCCCTATGCAATGCCTTTTCACTGCCCTTCTAATCGTGCAGGCAAGACTTCAAGTGTCAGCCTTCGTGCCCGGCAAAATTAAATGTCCTCGAAATCCACCAATCAGGAAGTTAGCGTGCGCTAACTAAGGTAACCAAAAAACACCAGTTATGTATCCAAAAAAAGAAGGCGATCTCTTGAATTTGCTGCTGCAATTTTGCATTTTCTCACGCCGATAGCATCCCCAAACCAGCTATTGGAGAGCAGCCAAAAGGGACCATCAAATTAGTGTCATGTGACATCGCCGTGCCTTTTTTTCTCGCTCTTTACCATCATAACTGTGCAGTTGTGGCTTAAGTGTTCTTTGCGGAGTTGGCTAAAGTAAGGAAGGGAATTTACCTTTCCCACATCCTCGTTCATCCCCTTCTCCTGCTCCCCACCATAACCGATCCCTTCCTCCCTCCCCATTAAACTGCCATGCTCCATTGATGGCGTGGACCTCAACTTTGACCCCACTTGTGACAGTCAGTGTGGTCAACAGCTGAACTCAGGTTTTTCTTTTTTGTACTTTTGTATTTTAAACGGAGAGGATTTGTTGGATAGGATGATTGACACCTCCTCTTCCCGTCTGCGCTCTTTCTGCAATTAGTTCACTTCACACTCACTAACATGCGTCCGCAATTACTGACAAGTGACAGTGTTGACAGGATAGAATTTGGCTTAAATCCCTCCACCTTCACAAGCTAATAAGCGTAATAAATTGTGTGTGAAAAAATGGTGGCAATTCACCTCACACCATGTTGCCTTTCAATGCAGCCAAAAGGATGTAAGTGAGTAAAAAAGAAGGTTGAGACTTACGCGCCAAAGTCGGCTCCCACGACACAGCTCCACGAGGGTCCGTAGAGATCGTCGAAACGCTTTCTCACATACCTCGCAATATCCATGTACTGTTGGTGATGCTGGAGGGCCTCGTAGGCACAATTTGCTGCCTGTTGTTGCAACTCCTCCAGCATATCCGTCTCCTTAATCACGGCTTTTGCTTCACTCTTCCTATACCTTCCAGCAGACATGGCAAAAGCGAGTGCAGTAATGCCAGTAATTGAGCTAGTCAGTTAACTTGGACCCGTCACATCAATGAAGGTGCCACTAATATAGCACTTCACCCTCTGCTATTGCAGTCATTGGTGGGTTAGGCGGAGGGAACAAGGTAAAGACGAATAATAACCTCGCCTGTGAGTGAATGAGTAACTGCAAGTGGTAAGACTGTTTCGTTACAGTGTGTATACTGCGTTGTTAGTCCCTAAGGCTTACTTTTAATTATCAGGCTTTACCACTGTCTCCCACTAGGCAACCGTTGGGGCTAATGTTACCGCCCTTTTAAAGGCGAGATCGGCTTCCCTTTCATGATAAAGCCGCATTATTGTTTTTCTTTCTCTCTCCGTCTTGGAATAGGCATTGCGTAAGTCGTGGGCCGGAAGTTATGCGGCCGATGAGAGGCAGCTAAGGTGATGTTTGGGAATGGATTACAGGGCCTTCGATAATATTTATTCTCTTTTAATTAACATTTATGATCATCAGAGTCACCTGAAAATAAAATCTTACACTGCTCAAATGACCTTGTCAGGGGCGGGGGAGGAGGGGGGTTGAAGGAAGCTAAATAATGAGGTACAGATTGTGAAAACGACTACCGACGCTTCAGTGAACTTGGTGGACTTCTGGAAGGCCACACATTTAAATCCTAGCGTCCCGAGGCTTCCCATAGGGTGGAAGAAGGCATAAGGGAGGTTGAATACATGTATTTCGAAGACGACAGGGCAAATGGAGCTTGAGCGTGGCCCGAAGACTAGCCACGTGTGCAAGGGCGGGACAAATTCTAAAGCGACCGCCAAACGTCTGGTAGTCACATAAACAAAGCATTACACTGACAAACCCAATTACCCATTTTTTATGTAATTGCGCTTTCGTTGCAATCCTACGCATAACTTTTGGCTTTTGTTGAAGTCTTCAAGTCATTTATTACATTGCCCCCGAAAGTGGTCGAAATTATTCGGTAACGCACATTATTTTGATCTTGAAAAAGCTAAAAAAGGATTACTACACCCCACGTGTTCGCGTAAGACGCAATTATTCTTTAGGTTTAGAGAACCTAGCAGTTACTCATCCACACGTGGTCGAGCTTTCAAAAAACAATCTCACTGCCACACGGTAATCACTAACTTGCCCTCACTTTAAGGGCATTTGAGGATCGGATTTCAATAAGCGCATGATCAAAGGTAATAATGATCTCTCTGAAACCCTAACAAAGAAGAGACTTGATGAATCGCTCTAGAGCTTGAACAAATGTCGTTTCTCTGCAATAAAATCTGATGCTTCCTAATGCGCATTTATAGATAGATGGGCGAATCGCCTAACCGATGCGATGTAAAATAGTAATAACACTCTCCTCTTGCTCCAAAATACCTCATATCACGACTCTAAAAGATCGGTCATTGACTAATTCTGGAGTTAAGAATGTATGTTGATAGTTATATGCCACATTTTAAGTTTGTTCGACAACTAGGCAGCAAAATTGAGTTTCATTTCCTTCTCGACAAAGGGAGATGTGCGTAATTACGGTGACTTAGAGCTTTTGACAGGTGGATGAGTCAGAAAGCCCATTTAATAAATGACAACAGCTAGCTTCTTATTTGTCACGAAAAACTCCTTTTAAAGCAATGGCATAAAACGGTTATTCGGATAAAAAGACACTGAATGAATAAGTTTTTTCCTAAAATGATTAAAATAATGTTTGCTTATTTACCCTGGACATTCATTGAGCTAGTATCCTATTTTGGCTTAAATATGAATTCACTGCAACATGCTACATCAGGCAGCATATTTTTAAATTTTTACTTTTTGCATACCACCACAGTATGTGTGTGTTCCACCCAAAATTAGTTTGACCACAGTTCAAAATCATCGTCTTTTTTGAAGTATAAATTATCACTTTGAGCTTTGGATTATCGAAATTCAGTTGTTTACTTTGTTTAAATTAATCAACAGGAGGTTTTCTTTGTTCGGCTGGTTTATATACTATTACAAACGCATGTTTTTGTTCACGACTAGGGATTCAGTTTCCAAAGTGTGCTGGAAACGTCACTGTTGAGTCGTTTATGTGCGTCAACAATAACCAAAAGCGTATTACCATTCTTTGATTGACTCAAAATGTTATGCATCTTCACCTCAAATCTGCCCTCGGTATTAATGTCGAGCAAGGTTAACAAAACATACTAGCTGTAATCTATCTGTTTTAATGATCCTCTTCGGAGATCAGGGTGGATTTTACGCTTAACTTAGCTAAGTCCATGTGATTAACATAACTTCCACTGGGAAGTACTTGCAAATAAATACGGAAGTCTAAACATTGCCGCGGTTCAGGCATATTATTGAAAGGAATGAGTAAAAACAAGGATTTGCCTTTTTATTATCAAAATAACTAGTGTGATAGGGTTTTAGTAATGAAAAGAATCAATACACAGCGCATTCTCTCCATGAGAATCACTTGACCGGATTTAGACGCTTTTGTCAGGAGCATTGTAATGTCATACGGCGACGCTAAGAGATAGTAACAAGTAAAAAACGCATTTTTTCTTTTTTCTCACGCTCCACGAAACAGGAGGAATGTGTAACCTTTCAGTTCGAAGGAAATCAGGTGTTTCTTCTCATAAGCGAATGATCTGCAAAAAATTATGGCATGTAGCAGAAGAGGAAAACAAACTACATTCCCTTGTGGGTGTAAGCACACTTCATTAAGAAATTTACTAAAACAAGTATCGTTTGGTTGTACACTTTTGAATTTTGTATTTGATGGATAAGTAAGGCAAGAAGTTACTTACGTGCCGAAATCTTTGCCAACAACACAACTCCACGAGGGCCCGTAGCAATGATCGAAATGTGTCCTCAAGTGTTTAGCAATGTCCATGTATTGTGTGTTGCAGTGCAATGCCTCGTAGGCGTGATTAACTGCCTCCTGTTGCATCTGATCCAGCATGTCAGCCTGCTTCACGTAGGCTTTTGCGTGCGGCATGTTTGTGGCAGAGTGTCGTAGTACTGTGCAGTGCACCAAGTTATCACACTTTATAACACCTGATTACCCAGTTATTTTGAACTACACCTCTCCTAGCTGTGCTGGGTGCTCAAGCTCTCTCGCTCCTTCTCTCGCTGTGATTGTATGTGTGTGTGGGTATGTGCGTATGAGACAGGACTGAAGAATGAGCAAGCGATCCACCTAGGCAACGATTGTGACACACAGAGGGACGATACACACTCGCACACACACGCACACGAGGCTAATTAAATTACCAACTCTCCTTAATCACATGTAATTGGGTTGAGGGAGTTTTAGGTGCTCTAGCAATCAATATAGCGCTTTACCCACCGCCTCCATCTCGCCAAATAAACCCGCTCCGTAAATTGGCAGATTTGATATGTCAGTGTGAATTTCACCAATTGCTCACTAATTGTCGGATGCGTCAACAGAACTGCAGGGTGTCAACGTAGCCCAAATGCTCCTTCCACCTCATAGCGGATTTGATCAATTGAAATGGAGGTCACACCACCATCCGCCTGAGGTGACACTCATTTTGGAAGACAACGAAATGACTGAGAAAGGTACAAATCTCAGCAAGACTTTGTTTTCCTTCAGGAAGTGATTAGTTTGCTCTAACGCCCTGTCACTGCGAACTTCGGTAACCACCGGTAATGAAGATCCTCCAAGGTTGTCAGAATGGTGGTAATCACACACGGATGAGCTGAGATATCGTGAGACTACTGACTGCAAAAAAGGAGAACACACACCAAAAACTTCTTTCCTATAGTTAGTTCTTTTTTCAAGCTCCAAAGCAGTGATGCTTGAAAGTAAGGCAAATCTTCTCAACGCCTTATTGCTAGTGCGGCGAAAATTTCGGCAAATTGTTCCAACTTTCTCAGAGTCGAGTTTAAGCAAGTTAGGAGGGGGCACACACATCATAGAAATTCACACGGCAAAATGTAACATTTGCGTTTGAGTTACCATAGGAGAGGTTCAAATTGGACCTAGCGAAACTTTAGCCTAATCATCTATTTCACCCCGGCAGACCTTAAAAAGTGCAATGTTTATTTCATTGTATACAAGACAAAGAAACCAATAGTCTTTTTCAATAGAAGAGCAAAATCCATTAAAGTGTTGTGAAAATGGGACCCTCCTTAAAAGCAGTTAGTGGGGTCACAATGACCATAAACATAGGTAATAACACGAGAAGTTGTTGAATGTTTGCCTGTTTGTGCAAGCGGCAAAACTTACTGCATCGTTCTAGGGTGAGTTAGAACCTCCGAATTTCCACTATTTTCACAACCACTTCCTCTTATTAATCTACTTTAATGATATTAGTAGCATGCTGACATTTCGTCTTTTTTAAAATGAGTAAAGTAAACCATCGAAGTGGGATCAAATAATACCAAAATTTGCTGCTTTGGAAGAGTGTCATAGAATCATAAATGTTTACAATAGAACCGATTTTAAATAAAATTCCCATCGATTCCAAAAGAATAGCTCTACTTAAATAGTAGTCAGTAGATTGA